GGCTGGGCTGCTGCGCCGAGGAGCTGCTGAGCTGGGAGAGGCCGCTGCGCAGCCTGCTCGCCTTCGTGGGCGCCAACCTGCTGTTCTGGTGAGATCCCGCAGGCTGGGGACGCCCGGGAGGGCAGGTGACCTTGGTGCGCCCCGGGGCGGGCGGGCGCTGCCCAGTCAGCCGGGCCTCACTTTGGGGGCCACCTGTCTGGGACAGGTAGACGCACACCTCTCCTTTCCTCCGCCGCACTTCCCAGGAGACAATCCTCACCCTCCGCTATTTTGGGGCTCCAGGTAGTCGGCTGACCTGCACGCACCGGACCCTAGAGGTGTGCCCAGCGTGCTGGGAAACTAGAACCTCTGCTTTTTAAAACTCCCAGGTCCTGACCTGCGCCACCACCTGAGCCTGCCCCTCTACTGAACTTGAATTCGCCCCAGCGGGCTAGCTGGACAGACCTTGTTAGGTGCACATTAAAGGCCGCGCCGCCTCCCCAGCCACCTGAGATGGGCATTGAGTGGTTTGTTTTCCTCTCCCTGGAGGGTTGATTTACCCTCTCGGCTCCCTGATGAGAAAGCAGTCTGCAAACAGGTGGATTGTGTACATCACCTCTCCCCGGGGGGGGGGGGGCACGGGGTGGAAAACAGGCGTATTTTTAGGTGAGCTGCAGACAGACTGCATCGAGATGTTTTCTTACAAAGCCGGTAATCAACAGGTTTGTCTCACTAAACAGGGCCCTTGAACGGTGAGGGCTCAGGGGCTGCGTGGCCTCTCCACTGAAGGACGTGCCCTGTCACCGCGAAGCCCGGGTGAGGGCGGGGCGAAGCCTCTTTGTTTGCAATCGTGTCCTCATAACAAACCTGACCCCAGTGCGCCCAATGGCCCGGCTCGTCACAGACACAGCGTCACAGGACCTAAGATTTCATAACCTTAAAAGTTAGAGACTATATACATGCACATGACCTGAGTTTCCTGCGTTTTTCTGGGCTGACTTTAGAAATGGGAAGATTCCCTTGCTGATTGTTCTGGTCCTCTGTTCCTCTTCACGTGAACTGTACCTTATCAGGTCGCTGAATGTGAATTCGCGTCGCTTTGCGGCTCTTTTGCCATTGCTAGAGCAGACGCTCCATCGGATTGCCAAGGCTGTAAATTGCTCGGGAGAGGATTGTGCATCTTTCTCCCTGGAGCTGCTGGTGGATTCGAACCAGCGTAGAGAAACGGCCTTTGGGTGAGCAGCGCAGCTCTGTAAGGTGCCAGAGCACCCATTGCTTCTCTCAGGTGCCATCTAGGCGGAATTGACTCACAGCTGAGCCTTCGCCTGGTTGTCAGAGGTGGTAAATCGCAGGGGTGGCGCTTGCCCATCTTCTCCCATAGAGAGGTTGGTGGACTGGAAGTCTTTGCCTTTTGATTGACAGCACAATTTACCACTAGGCTTCCAGAGTTCCCCATTGTGGCTCTTACTGTCCTGTAATGACCAAGACAAGAGCTTAACTTGCCAGATTTCCACTTTGTTGTGCACTTAGTTACCCACCCACCGAGCCCCCTGCTCTGAGTGGCTTGTGACTGTTGGGCTACTAAGTCCTGCAAATCTTTGTAGGAGGAGGTCCCATTTCTTCCATGAGCAGCTGATGGGTTTGAACTTCTGACCTTTCTGTTAGTAGTCCAACACATTATGCACTGTGCCACCAAGGCGTCTTCATAAAAAAAATAGAAAAAAGAAAATTAGCTCTTGGAAACTTTACAGATCACAGGAAAAAAAATTACAAGAATACTCAATTTGAGAAATTGTGTTATTCTCAACAAGATAACAGTTCAAATAGTATTAGAAATGGGAAGAGCCTCTGAACATAATCTCTCACTCATTTACCACTGCACGGGCATGTTTTTAAAAATGCTTCCTTTTAAAATTTAAATTTTATGTTTAAGAATAGCTGTCTCAGGGTTCAAGAGTTTAAAGGTACAAAAGGCGAAGAAGACTCGAAAACTCCTTGCCTTGCATGGACTTCTTGCTACCTGATTTTCTCACAGGGGAAAGAAATGTTAGCAGCTCCCAATATTCTAGATTTGTGAGATGCCACGTGGCAGTTGGGAGCCCTGGTGGCACAGTTGTTAAGCAGCCGGCTGCAGTCTGGAAGGTGGGCAGTTTGAATCTTCATTTGAAGCTGTGGGCACTCAGTGGGTCAGTTGTGCTCTGTCCTACAGATTGGGATTGACTAGGAGACAGAGAGGAAGCTCTGGGGCAAAGACCATAGGGAGTTATGCTGCTCCCTGCTCTTGTGGTGGGAATCCACCCATGGTGCCTCTGGAGAGAGATGAGCACTCTCTTCCAGGGTGATTTAAAGCGTCAGGAACCCATGGCTCCAACTCCAACTCAAAGGCAATGAGTTATTATTAGATGATAATAATGGCTACATTGGAGCCCTGGTGGCCTCTTGGCAAGAAGCTGGGCTGCACTCCCAAACGGGTTTGAATCCGCCAGAAGGATGGGCAGTTTTCTCCTGTGCATTTACCTACCTGCCTCTGAAAACCTGCAGGAGGACAGCTATGAGTCCTTTCCAACTTGACAGTGCAAAACAACAATGGATAAATGAGTGATTCTTAATATGTTTTGGTGATCACTTCCTTGTCCTTTTCCATAGGCATAAAATGAGATTATATTGTTGTTATATGTGTGCTCTCAAGTCAACTACAAGTCACAGAGACCCTATGAACGGCTCCAAACGCTGCCCTGTCCTGAGCCCACCTCAGTCTCTGACATACCTGACCCCGCTGCCATAGTTACTGTATCAGTCCATTTCATTGAGGGTCTTGATCCTCTGCTCTTGATCCTCTACTCGTGTGTTGATCCTCTACTCTTTGAAGCATGTTGTCCTTCTCCAAGGACTGCCTTCTTACAACATACCTCAAAGTGTGTGAGCTGGAGTTACCCCATCCTTGCCTCGAAGGAGCGCCCTGCTTTCACTTTCTCCATAACAGAAGAGTAGGAGATGTTCAATACTCTTTTCCAACACCACAACTCAAAGACATTGATTCTTCTTCTATCATGCTTGGTCATTGTCTAGCTTCCAGAAGCAGTTGCCCTGGAAAAATCTGCTGTTGAGGGCGTCTCTAGAAGGCCATCACATGTCAGTTTAAAGAGCAGTGATGTCAGTCTAAAGACAAAAGTCCAAACCATGATATTCTCAATTGCTTGCTATGTGTCTGAAAACAGGACAGTATATAGATACCTCAGATTATTTAACCTACTCAGTGCTAATGGTCTAAAGGAGCTTTTGTGTGTTACTTGTTGAATCTTGGAGATAGTTCAAGGGGAAAAGGTGGGGAGCTTCTTCTATAAAGATTTACATTTCCAGAAACCCTAGTGGACAGTCACCATGCATCAGAATCAACTTGTCCAAAGTGGTTTGGTTTTAGTTTCTACCAAGGACCTGAAGTTATTCGTAAACATTTGCTGTTACAGTATTATATCCGATGACCTTGCATGTGTCCGCATCATTTTGCAAGCATTTCTGGATTGGATAAATTTTGATGTAGGATAAATTTCCATCTGCACTTATAATTGCAATAGTTGCCACAGTGGTACACTTCTTTGCCATTCTATCAATGCATGCTTCAGCCTGCAGTGTGTGTTGTTGCTTCTGTGTTTCCCCTACACTCTGACCAGCATTATTTTAGCAGATATTTTGATGTTTCAAGTCTTACAGGTTTTTTTTAAGATATCCCTGTATGATTTTTATTTGCATTTTCCTGAGATGGGGGTATTCTCCCCCCCTTTTGCTGAAGAACCTAGCTTGTTTTAATTGGGGAGCTCCACCAAACACTGTCCACCATGGGTAACCATTACCGCATTTGACACATCAGTGTCACAGTGTTCAGCATCACAGCAACCACAAGTTACTTCTGTCCAGCAAATGGACAGACCAGTGTTATACTACTTAGAAGAATGTTTGACCAAAACCAGTTAAAACTAGGCCTGTGGGCTGCAGATTAAAATCATCCACCTTTGGCTTGGTAGCATCACTTTCCATCCATGAGGCCAACAGAGCTCTTTTGTTGTTGTTGTTGTTGTTAAGTGCCATCGAGTCATAGACAACTCGTAGCGATCCTATGCACGAAAGAACTGAACACTTGTATAACTTTCATCGTTTCTCCAAGTTCATAGAGTTTCTGGAGGCAAGTTATTTCAGAAGTGAATGCCCCTTCTGCTTCCAAGCTTGTTTTAATCCCCAGCCACATTAGATCAACAGGGCAACATTTACCTGGGGATACTGTATAGAAGGCAAGAACGATGAATTAAATGGGAAGCTCAGGGAGGAAGTTGGGAGAAAGTGTTGTCATTACAATTAATGTCATGAATCAAAATGTCTATGAATTGTTGACTGGGAGACCAGTCTTCGCTCAAGTCACAATCAAAAAGTAAAGGGAGAAAGATGACTTAGCATAGTGCTGTCCAGCAGTATGTGTGGATCCGTAGACGTGTTGATGTATTTGACATTTGCACCAGTGGAGTGGCCACGAGCCATGTTTGTGTTGGACTGGACAGATGTGGATCAGTCAAGGGGCTGCAGTGTTTTAGTTTTAAAGAACTACACACTAGATGTCTGTAAACATCCATTTCCAGAAACTAAAAGTTCAAAGTCAAGGTTCTGGCAGTCAGATTCCTTCCACAGGGCTCGAAAGGGAAGGCCCTTCCTGCTTGTCTTCCGGCCTCTGAGGTAGCTGACAGTCCTTCATGGTGTTTAGCTTGTAGACATGTTTCTCCCGTTTCTGCCTCTGTTGTCACATGTTGTGTGACTTTGTTGTGTGACTCTGTCTCTGTGGCTCTTCTCTGTGTCTAATGACACCAGTCACACGACGCTGGGGATAAGCCTCCCGAAGTCTGGCCTCCTGCCGACTTCACTGGGAGGAACATCTATGAACAGACTGCATTTTCAAAGGAACTCACCTGTGAGGATAGAAGAGCCATCATTTCATTATTTCTTTGTCTGTGGTGGCTTTGAGCCATTGAGTCAGGACCGACTCGTAGCCAACCTTCCAGGTGGCGTTCCACTCCTGTTCAGAAGGTTTTGTTGCCTGTTGTTTCAGAAGTGGATGGCCATTCC